ATCGCTCTTAGGTTGGAGCCATCGCTCTCAGGTTGGAGGCCATCGCTAGGTGACCCGACGGGCCCCGGGCCTTTGGAAACTGCTCCTCAAGGAGGATTTTCATGCGCCATCCCCAGCTGCCAGGCGTTTGTCGGGATGGTCTGTCCATCCATTGTGCCCTGCCTTCTTCCACCTCTTAGGGTGGGGATCACTCCAAGTAAAGTAAGCTTAGGTAAGCTTCATTTTATAATTGTTTGTCAACATGTTTTTTCTGTTTTTTGCCCAAAACCACCCTCACCAGCGCGAACAGGATGATTTTAGTCGCGCCAAACGACAGCCAACCTGTCTCTTCCTCGGCCAAGCCGTGGCCATGGCCGCCAGGGCTGGATTCTTCAACAGTCACATACGATTTACACACGATTTGCATGGTTTGTTGTAGTTCTTCACAAGATGATACGCTTCTTTTACATCCAGGGTCCAGTTAATGAGACCTTTTTCTTGTCGCATGGCCTTCCAGATGTTGGTGACCATCTTCTCCCGGCATAGCCCACTGCGAAGCTCTGTGCTGCAAGAGTTCCTTTCTCGAGCGCCCAGGCTGGCGCGTTCGCGCGGCCCGAGAGAGGGAGCGGCATGAAGAATGAGGGAGGGATGCCAGGAGCTCCGTTCATAGCCCCTCGTGACGTTCGGTAGCGCCAGGAGAGATCGGGCAAACGTTTCGAAGCATCGACACGAGACGAAGCGCTTAGATCCGATTCGAAGCCCGTCGACGGGAGTCGGACTGGTCTGAGTTTGGGCTCTCAGCACGGTTCGGAGTAAACCTCCCATTGCTCGGTGTCTGTCCACGTTCGTCATGTTTGGAGCAATGTTGCGCTTGGTGCTACTTCTTGGGCTGAATGTAGGCTCCATCGCGCAAGAGCTTTGCCTCGATGATGGTGTGCCATTCAGCCAGCGGAAGTACATTCAGGCAGTGGGTTTAGACTTGCAACATTGTCCTCTTTTTAGAGCTGGCTTGAGAAAGGATATGAGCAGATCCCTGTAAAACTGTTATTGTATGTAAAACTATGGAAAACTGCGATCGGCTATGCACAGTGCCACACCCAGTGATAATCTGTGATAATGAATCCCCGCAGGCTTCTTTTGCTCATGAGTTTATGAATTGATTCTCACGAAAGCTCTGCTGAAGCTAGTCATATGCCTGCCACCATTCAGGATGATGCGAGCAACAACATTCCAATCCAAGCGCTTGAATGCGCTTGGGCATCTTCAGCGCTTCTCAATGAATTGACGGTGATGCTGATCAGAGAGGTCCTTGGTTTCCATGCAGACATTGCTCCCCAGGTGGGTGCCAGTGGGGCTTCTCCCATCTACGCATTGGCCGGATGCGTTGACTTTGATCATGCAACCGAGAAGAATTGTGGCTCTCAAGAGACGCAGATCCATGTGAGTGTGGACAGCTGGGTTGGAAGCTACGCATCCGCTCAGAACAATTTCGCGAAGGAATACCCAAGGATTGCAGCAGAGGATTTGGGGAGTATGGGATACTCTGGAGAGGAGTCCATGTACGTGAGCCAGGAGATTCTCCATGCTGCCTACAGTGAATCAGGTCTGGCCCTGGACTTCTACAAAAGCTACTTTGCTGAGGGTAGCAGGATTGCAGGAATCGCAGACTGTGACCTGCAAATGATATATCATAAGCCACCCCTGTGGTTGGGTATGAAAAGGGGTGCAGCGATGAATATGTTTATGCCCAAGACGTTTTGACGCTTGTTCATCTAGGTCCAGATGGAAAAGAAGTCTTACCGCCTGTACGTTGTCGGAAGATTATATAGCAGTTGTGAACAGTCCCACAGTCACAGTCTGCAAACGGGGGGTTCCCCAGGAGTACTTCTAAGAGTAGGGATGATATGGGTATGTCCCGGGTAAACTGCTGCAGAGCTAGCAGATATATAGATGCATATGTTTTCTTCATTGATTCGCGAGCTCATTGACCTAGAGTCAATCTGTAACCTCTTCCTGTTTTGGCTGCTTGATTTTGCCATGTGTCGGCAGTGTCAGTGTCTTGAACATTGGGGGGTATCGTTATCGAAAAGCTATGGAAAAGCATGAGTATAGAGATGACACATGTGTGATTTTGACCAAAGCTTGAGGCTACAACACGACGCATCACGACCCGAAGAGACTGGGCTGTTGAAGAGACGAGCCGAGTGCTCGGAACCATTTTGTGGTGAGAAAAAAGGCCTCATTGATGTCACCCTAGACTTCCAAGTACCTTCTGAGGTTCGGTGGGACTGAGGTGGGTGCCATGTTCGGGCCCAGTCATACCGAACCTGAGTTCGGTGCGACGAAGTCGGTGTAGGGTGACATCAATGTCTCCTGCCACCTTGACCTCCTGGTTCAATGGGTCTGGAACAAACGGTCCTAAACTTCCCAAGGGGTTGAGCTTTTCTATGTTCTCATATGGTCTTCGGTCTTCTAATCGAACAACACAGCCAGGAAATACTTCGATTCCATTCACGCTGTGAACATGTCGGAATTGGCGTTGTGCAACGAGACGGACATGAGCAATCCGAGCCGCATGGGAGACTATGCCCGGTTTTCGGGTGACTATGACGGGGTTGTAAACCAAACAGATGGCTCATTGATCGCCAAGTGTGCAAACCATCGCTGGTGGTATGCCCCCGCGTGCCAAGCCCACGCCCGAGATGATGGGCTCGGTCATGGACTCGGACTTGTCCAAGACCGTGGTCACGGGCAAGATCTGGATCTTGTTCGCGGCCATGACCGTGTTAGGGAGCCGCTTCGTGCTCACGAACTCGTCCCCGACCATGGCCAAGATCAAGTGCTCGTACATGTTCGCGGTCGAGCCCGAGGTCATGCGCACGGGCAAGTTCTTGGCCATGCGCACGATCAAGTCCTTGGCCTCGGGCAGCTTCATGAACTTGTACTCGTCCACGAACGGGAGGCCGTTCGGATCCATGACCACGTCCTTGTAGTCGATCGTGTCCATGCCCACGTTCGGGTTCAAGCAGTCGGTCATGTTCGCGTTCTTGATCCTTTCCATGAACTTGATCCTGGCCTCGGTGATGTTCTCGTTCATGATCATGCTCACGTACAAGTGCTCGTCCACGGACAGGATCTTGATCCAGGAGTAGATCAAGATGAAGATCCTGATCTGGTACGGGAACCCGTGGTCGACCATGATCTCGAGCATGTCCATGTTCTTGTTCATGATCGCGAACAAGTCGTCGGCCATGTTCAGGACTTCGGTCGTGGTCTCGGCCACGCTCATGGCATCGAACAGGGCCTCGATCTCCTTCATGGTCGTGTACCCGATCTTGGTCTTGGTCGTGGGCATGTCCAAGAACGCTTTCGCGATCGGCGTCATGCTCGTGTTCCCGTTCGGGATCATCAACCAGGGCTTGCTCGTGTCCAAGTCCGAGATCAAGGTCTTGTTAAAGGCCAGGTCCAAGGTCGAGACCTCGATCACGGACCCGGCCTCGTGCGAGACGTGGCCCGAGACCGAGGTCGTGATCAGGATCTTGTTCAAACTCGTGATCGGGTCCCCGAACATGTCCATGTACTCGATCGGGTCCATGGTCATGCCCTCGTTCTCGAGCGAGAGATTGAACTTGAACATGAACGTGGACCTGAGCAAGTGCACGAGCCCGTTCCTGTACACGTTCACGCGCGACACGTTGGCCTTCTTCGCGGTCGCGGACACGATCCAGTTCTCGATCGGGATCGCGAACGTGTCGTTGAACCGGTACGCAGCCGCGAACAAGGTGTTGTTCAGGGCCGCGATCGAGTACTCGGTCATCTTCGAGGTCTGGATCGAGATCGTGGTCGCGTCCAAGTTCTCGAGCGTGCCTTGGCCAAGGTCTTTGACATCGGACACGAGCGTGCTCGTGACCGGGAGCCAGCCCATGTTCTTGTGCCTGCCCTCTTCCATGTTCCTGTTCAAGAACTTGGCCCAGCCCTTGAGCTTGTTCTCGATCGCGATCTTGTCCAAGGTCTGGATCTCGCTCTCGATCGAGTTGCTGGGCTTGATCTTGTCCGCGCGCATGGTCATGAGTTTGGGCTTGCTCTCGACCAAGCCCAAGTTCTTGGCCAACATCATGTGCGAGTTGCTGCACAAGACCCAGGCCATGGACTTGTCCACGTTCATGGTCGCGCTCGTGTTCGAGATCACCTTCTCGGTCGTGTCCTTGGCCTCGGTCATGGACATGGTCAAGATTTAGATCGGGATCGGGAGCTCGTTCAAGTACATGCATCCCAGTCTTCACGGCTGGCAATGGTTGGAAATTGCAGGCGATGATGCAGTGGTCGATGGCATATGGAATTCCAGCCGCCATTGCCATCTCCAGTGGATGGTCCAACTTTGTGAAGCATGTGCAGACTTACCGGGCTCTCCACTACTGGTGGGTTCCAGATTCGACCTTCATCGATATGTTGCCCGAGCAGTTGATTTTTGCTCGCCACAGTGCCAATGAGTGGCTGATGGGAGACAAGAAGACTGGAGGTGCAAGAAGCTACGTGTCCAAGATGGTGAGCAGCAACTTGCAATCCAAGGCCGGGAAGGTGCGAGAGCTTCTTTGTCCCTCCAATTTGGCAGCCTTTTGGAATGGACCAACGCCTACTTGGTGATGTTGAGATATTGTTGAGATGGGAAACCCACAGCTTTTTCTTGGGAGTGTCCCTAGTGTTTGGACATTTGGACAGCCTCGAGTCGCAAAATTTCTTCGTTGCAGTCACGGATCCAAGCGCTTTTTCCCACGATCCTTTCATAGATGCGATGCAACATCCGAACGGCAGATCCAAGTAGAAGACCATAGAAAAGATTAAAATGAAAAGACAGTCCCAAACAGAAACGAGTCTGGTTGTCCCGGCAGTTAAGATCCTCTACATCCAACGTACTTGGGGAAGCATCCAGACTTGCTTCTGGTGAGGACCAGGAAGACTAGGCAGCATTGGGGAAGTGGGAAGTTGCTGCGAAGCGGGGGAATCAATCAAAGACTCGCGGTATGAAGCAAGTCCTATAGCAATGGCCTCCACTCGTGGCATGAAGCGAATCCTGGAAAACTGCTCCTAAAAGTGAACTTGAACGAATCTGGTGTGATATGGTGCATCCATTTTCCTGAAAGCTTGGCATATGGAACACCACTCTTCCACACCGATGCTGGGCACCACTGGCTCCACCCAGCACGCGATTCGATACGACTCGACTCGACGTTTCGACGATTCGATACTCAAGGTTCGTGTCCAAGATCAACTTTGAGCTACCGGAAGTGCAGAAGCTCCTGCTGGAGCTGGGGCAGTCCTCCGCCTACAACGTGTCCTGCCAGTGGATGCGAGACCACCGAGCCAGGCGCGAGGACGGCAGCCAGTCAGGTGGACGGCCCAGGTGGATCCCTGGTGATCGAAACCAGGCCTAGGGCCTTCCGTTTTGCAGGGGAGGTTTTGCTGCACAGAAACCGAAATCACGGCGACATAGACACCCTGACAGGAGGGTCCTGGCAGGTTTTTTTGCTGGTGGTTGTGTTATTTCTGACCCTTTCTGGGGTGGACCTTTCAAAAGGTGTTCAGTTCGAGCGTTTGCAGAGTTTTTCTGGATCCTCATCGGCCGTACGAGGTGGTCAGCCTGGAAACCCGTGGAGACCAGCTGCTATGAAGGCTTTGGCTTGGTCGATGCGTTTGGAGGCTTCGTCTCGAACAGGACAAGTGCAGTTGGATGCGGCCTGTGCCAGGCAGGAACTGCATCGGAGGAGCTCATTGATGATGTGGGAAGAACCTTCCAATGCAAACAATGCCCTCCTGGCTACAGTCAATCAAACACATACTCCACCCAATGTTAGCCGTGTCCAAAGGGCACTTCAGCCAGCAGTTTTGGGAGCACAACGTGCACTCCCTGCGATGAAGGGGACTATCAACCAGATGCAGCTCAGACCTCGTGCATCTCTTGTGGCGCTTCCCGAACGACCCTGTTGTTGGGTGCATCATCTCTCGCAGATTGCGTGTGCCAGGCAGGGAAAATCGAGCAGGATTCCACTTGCATGGATTGCGATGAGGAAAGCGTGCATTGTCCAAAAGGTAGCACTATTGCAAAGCTTGAAGCAGCTTCCGGAACCACGGACTTGAAGGGTCCCTATGTGAAGAGGGGCTTCTTCAGTGAGTTAGACGTGCTTGAGCAAATTTTGAGCCTTGTAACTTGTAACATAGATTCTCACTATACAAGTCATATAGTTATATATATATATTTGCATGTTATAACTATAAGTTGTGTTACCTGTTTTCGGATGTTGTCCAGTTGATTGTACAGATCAAAGAAAGGCAATCCAGAAGCACCTCTTGACA